TTTTATATTTTTATTATATTTTGTATTTATTATTTTTATATAATTTTCTTAGAACTGAGGACAGTTATGTAATCTTCTATTTCCATCTGGTGTGGCTGTACGAGCGTTGGGACCTGCAAAATCATGTTCCAGTCCCCACTCAGCCACTGGGCTCCGTGGGTAACTATGGGCCAGTCACTCACTCTCACCGTAACCTTCCAACCTCACAGGGCTGTTGTGAAAATAAAAAAAGGATGGAGCAGAACTACGTAAGCCCCCTCAGGTCCTTTGCATGAGCTACAAGGCCGGATATAAATGCATTGCACTAATACTAACACTGGAGCAGAAAGCTGGGGGTTCAAAGGGGTTCCTTGATATGTTGGTGCTCCACCTCGTCCTCATCCTCTTTGGGGAAGGTTATTGGCCTTTGCCCTGCCTTCCATCCCGGGTTTCTCCCGTGGTGCTGCACAGGCCCTGCTTCTCAAGGGGCCGATGCACCCACCGTCCCTAGAAAGGAGGATCTGCGGGATTTACCCAAGTTCAGGGGCAGTTGATTGAAATGCCTGAGTAAGTGGCTGGAAAAAAGGTTCAGGGGAGGGCAAAAAAGAGGATCGGGGACTGGAAGGAAAGCCCTGTGGGGAACGGCTGGCCTGGGCACGTTTAGCCTGGAGAAGGGAAGGGGAAGTGAGACGGGAGAGCGCTCTCCAGGCCCTTGGAAGGCGGCCAGAGCGGGGAAGTCCAGGATCCCTTCTCGAGGGCTCCAGACTGCAGGGCAAGGAATAACGGGCTCGAGCTGCAGGAAGCCAGACTCTGGCCGGATAGTAGGACGATTTCCTGCCTCTGTGAGCAAGGCAACAGTGGAGCCCCAGACCCGGGCAGGCGGTGGACTCTCCCACCCGGGAGGCCCTCCAAGACGCGCCTGGAGGGCCAGCGGTCAGGGATGTGGGAACTGGGAGTCCCGCACTGGACCGGTGAGGTGGGTGCACCCGAGGGCCTTCTTGGCCACGTCCAGCTCGACTCTTCCGGGGTTCAGTGATCCCTCGGCTCTTCGGAATATGGCTGAGCCTCGCAGGTTGACCTGCAGAGACCTCTGACTGCGGAGCCCGAGTCGGTGACCCTGAGGTTCCCCACTCCTGGGCTCGCTGGGCCAGTTCTCTCTTTTTGCACTTTCTGCCCACTAAATCTGCCCTCTGAGTGCATTTAGGCAGATCCTCTCTCCTTGAGCTGCTCATGAAGACGTGAGGTGCCCTGAACCTGCAACAACTCAACTTTTAAGGCAGAAGGTCAGGCCCTTGCGTTTCAGATCAGCTGCGTTGTGTGCAGTTTGGCCCCCTGGTACACTGGGGCAAATGCAGCCATTGGTCGGAGAAGTCGTGGGCATCTTCCGGCCAAAGCCACCACCGTCTTCTCTCCTCCGTGACTGTTTTCCTGCTCCTTGGCTTCTCCCCGCAGGGCTCCCTGAGCTCCAGAACAAGGAACCTGCAAAGCACAGTGGAATCCCTCCAAGCTGCCCTTGAAGTGCTCGGATCGTTAGCTAAGGAGGTAAGGGCTGGGGTGGTCGATTTCCCACCGACAGGTGTGCTCGTTGACATGTGAGGAGAGGGAAGCCTTGTGCCCAGCGGCCACCTTCCTTTCAGTCCGGACTTCAAGACACAGGACATGGACAATGCTGCCCGGTCGTAGGAGCTGGGCGGGCCAGCATGCTTCTAGAAACTTCCATTTGGTTTCCCCGTGTCCCAGGTGTCATCCATGAGCAGCTTTGTGGAGTTCCGTGAGGCCCTGCAGGTTCTGGCTGGGCAGGGCTCTGCCCCTTCCCCTGCGCAGGTGTTTCGAGCAGTATCCCGCCTGGTCTGTGGCCGTCCAGAAGACGGAGGGTTCAGAGTCCCCTCCTTGAACTGGTACGAAGACCATGATATCAAAGCGTTCCTGAGCCACAATGACTCAGAGGAGAAAGTGGTTGCTTTGGACAACACCACAAGTGAGTGTGGGGGGAACTCTCCACTTTTCCTTCTGTGGCAGAGCAGGATGATCGGCATCATATTTATTTATTTAAAACGTTTCCGTCCACTTCCAAAGCATCTCTGGATGGTCTTACAGTAAAACAAAGAGAAGCACAGCTTCGATTCTGTACAATAAAATCCCAATTAAAATCACAACCTAAACATAGAAACAGAGCGAATCAGAAAGGGTCTCCCGGGCCATCTAGTCTGACCTCCGGCACCAGCCAGCTCCGCTCACGACATGCCCACCATGTGCATGTCCAGCCTGTCCTTGAACACCCGCACCGATGGGGCCTCAACCCGCTCCCGGGGAAGCCCATTCCACACCCTCGGGGTCCTGACTGTCAGGAAGTGCTTCCTGGCATCCAAATTGAACCTTGGCTGCTTAGAACAAAGACAAGGAATGAAACATAGAAACAGAGCGAGTCAGAAGGGGTCTCCCAGGCCATCTAGTCTGACCTCCGGCACCATCCGGCTCCGCTTACGACATGCCCACCATGTGGACATCCAGCCTTAACACACTGGGTAAATTAAATTGTTTTAGCCTCGCACTGAAAAGGATAAAGTGGCAGTGCCAGGCAAACCTCTCCAGGGAGCGTATTCCACAACCAGGGTGCCACTGCAGAGAAGGCCCTGAAGTGATTTGGTGGGTTGATCGCCTCTTGTTCTTTCTTGATCTCCTCAGGTTCCTACTGCAAGGATTTGGTCCGGACCTTGGAATCCAACCCGCTCCTGCGCATGATATGGAGGGGGATCAAGCCTCTTTTTGTGGGCAAGATCCTGTACACCCCTGCTACTCCTGCTACGCAGAAGCTGATGGCAGAGGTGAGGGGGTTGCTCAGTTTTGGCAGTAGTCTAATTCCTGATTCTCTGAGGATGCCAATGTGTTTAAGAATCCGCACTGACAGGGTGATTTTGGGCCAACTACTCACTCTCAGCCTGACCTACCTCACAGGGTGGTTGTTGTGAGGGTAAGCCGGAGCTGTGTAAGCCCCCAGGTTCCTCACCAGAGGGCAAAAAGGTGGGATATAAAACAGGAATCCGATGCAGCAATTGCTGAAAGCATCTTCACGTTGTCTTAGTGCTACTTCGTATAATGTTGTGATCGACAATTGCCCAGGGAAGGGCCTTTTTTGGAGTGGCCCCAATTCTGTGGAATGCCCTCCCCAGGGAGGTCTGCCTGGCACCTTCACAGCATACTTTTTTATTATTATTATTATTATAACATTTCTATGCCGCCCCTTGCCGAAACCTCGGGGTGGCTTACAACATGATAAAATACATTGAAATACAATAGTACATAATAAATTACCATTAAATATAACAATACAAAAAATACATTGATTTACAAATACAAAATTAAAATACTTGCAAATGCCAGGTCAAGATCATCCTTTTCCAAGCAGGCACCTGTTCTTTCATCTGTCATTCTGACTGTTCATTTACATAGGTCATTGCTAGCTCTTTTAAAATGTTTTAATATTGGATGTTTTCATTGTTGTGAACACGTTTTGGTTTTATTGTTTGGGGTTTTTTAAAAAGCAATTTCCTCGTGCCCTGAAGGCATTTGCCCATCGTTTAGAACACAAATTTAGTAACCACGTATAGGAAGGTTTCTGGAGATGTGGGTACAGGAGGAAATTGCATTCTAGGGATGGGGGGAACCCCAGCTTTGCCACTTCGGGGTCCTCGAATACGCCTCTCTTGGCTGCCCCGGAAGGTGGAATGGGGTCTTTCCCCAATTTCTTCCCCACAAGATTTGTTTTCCTCTGTTTTCACAGTCACATCTTGCGTTTTCTATTTTTTCCTTCCTTTTCTTTTTAGTGTATAATGTGCAATTTTATGTTTTTAATAATTGTGGTTTTATTATTGTATTATTTTAATTTTATACTACATGAGCCAAACTGAGCACTTGTACGGAAGGACAGGTTACAACTGCCGGTAATAAATAATAAATAAATAAATAAACCTGCTTTCTATATTATCTTATTGGATAAAGTTATCCAGGGACCGTGAAGCTTATGCATGTTTAGTGATCTTTGGGTCACCCTTACAAGGATTCGACACCAGTGTGGATTCTGGATTATCAGTGGTTCTTCCAGAGGACCTCTGAATGGAGCCTCCATGTTCAGAGGCAGGTTACCTCTGTATACCAGGTGCTGGGGCAAGTAACCCAAGGCGGCAGCAGTATTTGAGCACTACTTGTGAAGTCCCTTGTGGGTGGCTTGGCTGGCTGCTGTTCGAACAGGGAGTCCTTCCTGTGACCCCGCCAGACGCTTCTGCTCCTTGCTCCCAGGTGAACCGAACCTTCCAGAACCTCGCCGTGCTGCAGGAGGCCAAGGGGGCCTGGAAGGAACTGGGCCCCCGCATCTATGCCTTCATGAACTCAAGCCTGCAGATGAGGGCAGTCCAGGTATGCCTTCCCAGTCGGGCCAGGAGGGGCGAGGGGGGACAGGTGCAGAAAGATACAGATCCTGCACCTGGGGCTTCATCCACCAATATCCTTGCAGCGAAGCAAACTCAGAGGGTTATTAACGCATTCCCGATGGCGGAACCCGTCCCTGACGGCTGGGAGGGGTGGGACGGGTAAAAGGAGGGACTTGGCGCGATGCAGGGTTAAACCGGTGGAATTTGCTGCCATGGGAGGGGCGATGGCTGCCAGTCTGGATGGCTTTCATGGGGGACGGGACAGATCCGTGAGGGGGAGGCCATCTGGCTCCTGGCCTTACTGGCCGAGGGCTCCCTCCTTCACCGGGTGGCATCCCTGTGTGCACCCGTGGCTGAGAACGTGGGCCGGGGAAGGTCTTGCACCTTCCTGCTGGAGGGATCCTGCGGGCAGCTGGCTTGCCTCTGTGTATGGACTGCTGGACTAGGCGGTCCTTGGCCCTGATCCAGCAAGGCTTGTCTCGCATTCTCAGCACAGTAGGACCCCTACGTACAGTTTCCTTACTCCCCACCCCGCAGAACCTGCTGGAAACACCTGGAGTGCCTGAGTTTCTGCAGCAACACCTCCGTGGAAGCTTTTGGGATGTGTCCACTTTGAAGGAATTCTTCTCCTCAGAAGTGCACAGCCAAGCCTACACCTGGCGTGACACCTATGCGGAAGTGGACAGGATGGTTGGCATTTTGTCTGAGTCCATTGAGGTGCGTCTCGGATTCCACCAGTATATTTTCCTTTGCTGTGTCTACTCTTCCTTAAAATTTATTTATTTAAATTTATTTAAGACTTTTGTATGCTGTCCCTTTTGCATGACATCTCAGGATGGCTTACAGTCATTAAAACAACCATAATAAAACTGCAAGAAATAACAACCCAAAAAATACAAATTAAATAAATAAAAGCGACTGTTAAACATTAAAATTTAAATTCGTTTTTAAAAAAACAAATAAAAAGGGTTTAACCTGGTGCCAAAAAGAATATAAACTTGGTGCCAGGCGAACCTCTCCAGGGAATGCATTAAATGTATCTAAAATAAATTTCTCCAGGCTTTGTGCAAGTAAATTATTTAAACTATTAACACACACACAGCTGTGTTCATGCAGCACAGTTCAAAATTCATACAATAACAATCCTACGGTAATAAAATTAATTGCAACATGAAATACTTTATCAGGCATAAGAAGTAAAACCCACATGCCAGGGGCTTAAAATAATAAATGCCAACATGCAAGAAAACTCCAAACCCGGGAGAACAGAGAAACTTGAGTCTGCCATGACAAAAGGGTGGGTGCCAGGGAGCTTGCCCAGAGCAGCATTCTGGAGCTGGGGGCACCACCCAAGGAGCCGTCTCCTGTGTGCCGTTCTCTGGGGGTCAGAAGGTGGGAACTCTTGCAGAAGGGCTTCTGTGGATGAAGTCTGGGCAGGTGCATTGCCACGTGCTGCTTCGTCCGGGGAGGGACATTTGACCTGGCTGATGTCAGCTCGCTGTTTTTTAGTGCATCTCGTTGGACAAGATCCAGGCAGTGGACTCGGAGGAGCAGCTGGTCTGGAAAGCCATGCAGTTGCTGGAGGATCGGCAGTTCTGGGCCGGGGTTGTCTTTCTCCTGCCGAACCACCAGGATGAGCCGGCGGCAGAGCTGCCTTCCCACATCCACTTCAAAATCCGAATGGACATTGACGATGTGACCCGTACCAATAAGATCAAGGACAGGTGAGCTGGCGAACCTTTGATGACTCATTCACCTGACTCCACGAACTGCCGAGAGGACACCCCAACTCAAGAAGGGCTCCTTCTTCGCCACTTTGTTTTCCTGGGTTCCCAATCGGTGCCCTCTCCCAGAATCTCACCCCTTCTGCTCTTGTGTGTCCTTCTCAGGTTCTGGGATCCAGGACCAGCGGCCGACCCCTTTGATGACTTGCGCTACGTGTGGGGTGGCTTTGTCTACCTTCAGGACCTTGTGGAGCAAGCAGTGATACGGGTTCTCGCCGGGCCGCAAGCCCGTACTGGGATCTACATACAACAGATGCCGTACCCTTGCTACGTGGATGATATGTATGCTTCTGCGAGTTTCTAGTCCTCTGTGGGGAGGGGAACAAAGTCCCATGTGCCATGGAGGTGTGGGAGGGTTGAGTGCGCTTGATGCAGGGGTGGAACTTCTTCTCAGAAGAATCCAGCTTGTGTTGGATGAAGCCCTCCATTCTTAGGGTCGGAATCATCCCACACGTCACATTCCCCTCTGAATTCAGTACCAAACAGAGAATAGCACTCCTAGCTATTTTTCACCTGTTGGGTGCTTTGTAACTGGTACCAATGTTCCTTTTTTCCCCCTGGCCCCCACATGGGGACAATGAGGTCAAAAATACAGAAATTACCAGCCTGTTGTATCCTTGAAAGTTGGTCCTGCTGGTTGCTAAAAGTTTGGAAGAGCATTCCAGCCTTTTGGAATGGGGAAAATGGTTCCCACAGTGGAAGCTGGCCAGGAGGAGGAGGAGGATGGGGCTGCGGAAAGGAGCGTGGCTATCCAGGGAGTCCAGAGAGGGCCCCGGAGCAGGCCTGAGGGTTTGCACTCTGGTGTACCCAGTCTGTGTGGCTTCTCTCCCTTCTCTGCACTCAGCTTCCTGCGTGTTTTGAACCGCTCCTTGCCTCTGTTTATGACGCTGGCTTGGATCTATTCCGTGGCAATGATCATCAAGGGGGTGGTCCACGAGAAAGAAGCTCGCCTGAAAGAGACGATGAAGATCATGGGACTCAGCAGCGCTACCCTGTGGCTGAGCTGGTTCCTCTCCAGCTTCATCCCCTTCCTCATCAGCGCGTCCTTGCTTGTTCTCATTCTCAAGGTGCCCGGTTTGTCTTCAGGTTGTCAGCTAAGCTACAGAGCCTGCTTAATTTAAAACTGGGGTGTGTTTGATGCGGAAGCCAATGAAAGAAAACTCAATTGTGTTGAGGCTTCTTGGCCTGCTGTCCGGTATCTAGAAACGAAGAAATAATTTTGTGATCTATAAGACCCAAAGTACTTTCCCCTGCACTTCCCCATTCCTGTCCCCTAAAATGTCCACGGGATGCTTCCGCACACTGCCAGGCACTCCTTCGCACCTATGAGTGCATTTTTTGAAAAATTCTTCAAAATAAGAGTGTTGAAATTCTTGCGAAGTGTGCGTAAAAAAACGCAGCCCTTTTATAGAGGAGAGAATGATCAATAAGCAGATGCAGCTTTGGATCTTCAGGCATTCTGCACTTTGAAATTGTCTATGGGCTTCACCAACTTTTGCTTTTGGGTGGCTTCATCGTTCTTCTCCTCCTCCCCACTTGTGAGTTCCTTCTTCCTTCTCACCTCATAGTCTCAATCGCCTTCCGTGCCTCTCCGTATCTCGTTCCATGCTCATCTCCTGACTTCTGGGAGTGGGGTAGGAGGGAGAAAAGGCCATGGTAGAACTGGTGCACAGGGGCAGGAAGGATCTGGCAGTTGTGGCAGTGGGAAGACGGGACGCAGCATCAAGAAGGAAGTGTCTGGGATCTGGTGGCCATGCACTGGCGTCTTGGAGAGCACCTGGGGACTCTCCAAGGTGACCCTCCAGGATCATGGGAGTCATGGCTCACCCCAACCAGGGGGCGTCATCTCAGGGAACACTAAGGAAAAAAGAGATACTGGAAAATTACAGTTGGAAAAGTGTAATTCCATCATTGCTTCCGGAAGTACCTTGGGCAGCTGCTGAATTCCGGGAAGATTTATGTTCTGGGAGAGATGCAGCCTGTCTTGGCACTGGCAAAATATCGGCGCTCTCTGCTTTTTCTCGTCAGGTGGGAGACATCCTGCCCTACAGTGACCCGGCCGTGGTCTTCCTCTTCCTGGCCACCTTTGCGGTGGCCACGATCACCCAGTGTTTCCTCATCAGCACCTTGTTCTCCCGCGCCAACCTGGCTTCAGCCTGCGGTGGAATCATCTACTTCTCCTTCTACCTGCCCTACGTCCTGTGTGTGGCCTGGCGTGACCATATCTCCTTTCCTCTGCGCCTCTTTGTGGTGAGGATCTGCACGTAACTGGCTTGTTCCTACACCCTTTCCTCCAAGGTGCAGGTGAGGCCGAGGGACTGCAAGCCTCGTGGTCACACACAGAGTTCTTCCGCATTCCAGTCCAGCACCCGAGCCAGCATTTCTCACCGGCTCTGATTTCCCCTCTTCCCCTCTTGGTTGGGCACAGCTCTTCTCCCAGAGTGTCTTCCTACTTTCCTTGCACCCAAACCCCATCAATGGCAAGTCGGCATCCAGAGCAGAGGAAACCAAAGTTCTCCAGGTGTGTCCTTGAAGAAACAAGATCTGTCCCCCAGCCCAGTGAATCCTATTTCCATCCCGTGCCCATCCAAGCCTGTCTTGCCTCCATGTGCACTTAGGAACTTGTTTAAAACAGGAAGAAAACATCTAAGAACTACTCAAACAAGTTCCTGACAGTTAGGACCCCGAGGGTGTGGACTGGGCTTCCACGGGAGTTGGTTGAGGCCCCATCGGTGCGGGTGTTCAAGGATAGGCTGGACGTCCACATGGTGGGCATGTCATGAGCGGAGCCGGCTGGAGCCGGGGGTCAGACTAGTTGGCCTGGGGTCCCTTCTGGCTTGCTCTCCTATGTTTCTAAGTTGCAGCCTTGCATCATTCACTGCAAGAATGCCTTGATGGATGTTATTGTCATTTTTTCTTTCTTCCTATCACAATTCTCCTCTCAGTTTTCTCTTGGTCCTGTGAGTTAGGCTGGGCTGAGAGTTGGGGACTGGTTGAAAGCTTGCAGCCAGTGAGCTTTGCAGCCAAATGGGGATTCGAACTCGGATCTTCTAGTCCAGCACTCAAACCACTCACCCACACTGCTGCTCATTTGGATGTAGCCTTTTCTTTGGTTTTGTTCTGCTTTGCCTTTTGCCATTGATTTGCCGCGCTGAAGATGCAATGTCTTCAGGAACCGTTTTTTAAAAATAAGGCCAGCACTCTGTGGCTTCATTTTTTAATTGGTGGAATTTAACGGCAGATTACCATGTGCAAATCATAAAGTTTGTGAAAGAACGAGCAAGAGAAGAACACAGAGAGAAAAGCCTGGATTGTTGAATTCTCTGTCTAGTAAGGCATTTCCTGTAGGACACGCCCTTTATTCTGCACCCCACACATTGAGAAATGGGGGTGGTAGAGGGCACCCCACCTGCCATATGGGGAGTGCAGAACATCATCGACTGGTCTGATCTCCAGGGGGTGTGGAGAATGGATCTGCCACATTTTGTCCTCCATTCTGGTTCTCCCCATCTGCTCATTTCTTCGCCTTGGCTTCTCTCCAGAGCCTCTTGTCTCCAGTTGCGTTTGGCTTCGGCTGCGAGTATTTCTCCCTGTACGAGGAGCAGGGCGTGGGCCTGCAGTGGTTCAACCTCAACTCCAGCCCCGTGGAAGGAGACAGCTACACCTTTGCCACGTCTGTCGGACTGCTTCTGCTGGATGCTTTCCTGTATGGGGTGGCCACGTGGTACATTGAAGGCGTCTTCCCAGGTAAAGGCAACAGGAAAGCCTTCCCAGGGATTCTATAACCCCTCTGACACCTGCAAAAGCTGGATGCTGGGGCTTAAAAATCTTGGGAGTTTGCTGCATTCCTATGGCACATTCCTGGGCTGACCCGCACAAATGAGTTTTAGAGTTCAGGAAGCATTTAAACTCAATTCCTTGTTTCCTGCTTGGCTGTCACCCAATTTAATGAAATCACAGGCTGCTGCTCTGTAGACTCAGAATAGGAGAGCTGGATGTTTAAATGCCACAAGCCAAACTTCTCGGCTAAATGTTGCATGCCACACCGTTGTCCTCATTTTCTAGGCCAATATGGGATTCCGAAGCCTTGGAATTTTCCTTTCCGGAAGAGTTATTGGTTTGGAGAATCATTCCTGGGCGGTTCCCCCCATCCCATTCCTACAGATTCTCCCAGCTCAGCGGAAAGTAAGCTGATTTCACTTTTTTTGACTCTCTTGCTTTGTTCTTCTACCCTTAACTTGCACGCCAGACTGTTTTTCCACCAGTGACTCTTGGCCTCGCCTCCCTTGCAGGGTTGTTGTGGCAGTGGCAATATGGGATATGGAAGGACTGGTCTCTTTGGGTCCCTTTCAGAAGGAAAAATGGCAGGCTAGAAATGCAAGATTGCTCCTTTCCCCGTGTAAGGAACCCTGGCAGCTTACACAGTCCACTCCTTTTTATCCTTTCAACAACAACCCTGCAAGGGAGATACACTGACTGGCTCAACACTGATTCGCCTAGTAATCATGACTGAGCAGGGACTTCTATCCGGGTCTCCCAGGTCCCGAGTGCAACACCTAATGGAATAATACTTTTAAACTGAGGATTATTTCAAGGAAGAGGAAAACCCCTCTGTTCTTGGGGGCCAAAGCACTCCATAGATGCTTCACCAAAGGCTGCAGCGAGGATTGCGTTTGCCCAACATTGGAAGAGTGAGGAAGAACCTACCGACAAACTGATTTTAAAGATGATCTTGTGGCGAAATGGACAGATTGTCTTGTTCTCTGAAGGAGAAAGAGGATACAGATTTCTATCAAACTTGGAACTCTTTTTATTATTGGCTAGAGAAACGGGACTATGCATAGATTTAAATATGTTTACGGATTACTATAAACAAGAAAAAGTATGGGGGGCTGACCCAGTAGGTCTGATGTTTCTGATGATTGATGGTTTTAGTTTCTTTTTGTTAGTTGGTAGAAAAATAATAATAAAACTTACTTGAAAAAAAAATGCCTCACCAGGTGGGCACTCGTAAGGCCCTGTTACGAGTGCCCACCTGCTCTGCCTCTGTGGGCAGTGGGGTGTTTCAGAAGGCCCCCCCAGTGATGAAATTTGGGCTGTGTTTGTAGAGGGAAGAGGCTGGCTTTCGGAAGTCCTGCCCCCAGGGACTACTGTGCTGTGCATGTATGGCTGTCTTGAACCCGGGGTTCTTTCTTCCGTCAGGCATTGTGGAAGATCCGCCGACCCACTTAAACGTGGGCGTCTCCATCCGCAGCCTGGTGAAGATCTACCACAGCGGCAGCAAAATCGCCGTCAACGGCCTGAGCCTCGACTTCTACGAGGGCCAGATCACGTCCTTTCTGGGACACAACGGCGCTGGCAAGACCACCACCATGTGAGTTTATTTATTTATGTATGTATTTAAAACATTTGTACCCCATCCAATACGGAAGAACGTCTCAGGACGGCTTACAGTAATGAAATAATATTATTTATTGGTTTTAATTTTTACAGCCAGGGTGAATCCGAATTTTAATATGTATTGTTTATATGCTTGTTTATTTATTGTGTTGGAAGCCGTCCCGAGGCTCATGCGAATGGGACGGCATACTAAAACTCCAGATAAATAAATAAATAAAACCAATAACAATTACCATAAAATAATTACAATAAACAATAATAATTACAATAATTTAAGTCATTAAATAACAAAATGATAAATAACATTCATAACCAAAAACAAAATGTGGCTGTAGATGTTAAAAAAGTATTTAAAAACCCCTAATGCTTAAAATGATGGGTGAATAGAAGGGTTTTTACCTGGTGCTGAAAGGAGTATAAAGTTGGCACCAGGCGGACCTCTCTGGGGAGCGCATTCCAGAGTCTGGGTGCCACCGCAGAGAAGGCCCTGCTCCAGGTGGACCCTCCATACCTCCTTCAGGGAAGGTTCCCAGAGCAGGGCCTCTCCTGCCGGTCTTAAGGAGCGTGAAGGCATAGAAGGGAGAGCCAGTGTGGTGTCGTGGTTAAGAGCGTGGGACTGGGACTCAGACGATCTGGGTTCAAGTTCCCGCTCAGCCATGGGTGACTTTGGGCCAGTCACAGACTCTCAGCCCAGCCTACCTCACAGGGTTGTTGTTGTTGTGGGGATAAGATGGAGGAGGAGAATGATGTGAGCTGCCTTGAGCCCTTTGCAGGAAAAAGGCAGGTTATAAATCGAAAATGAAATAAAAAAAATGAGGAAGGAGATGTTCCTTCAGGTATCCTGGCCCCAAGCCAAGTTGGGGAGACATTCTGGGGGTGGCCTGACAGAACGAGGGCTGCTGGTGGACTTCTGTGTGCAGGAGAGAGGAGGAGCAGAGAGAAAGTTCCGGAAGGTCACGGCGGTGGGATTTCGCGAGGCGAGACGCTGGCCCGCCTGCACCTCTGCAGGGCCTGCCGGGGCACTTCACTTCTTCTAAACTGCAGACATGTCACCTGTTTCTTCCAACGCCCTCCAGGTCCATCTTGACCGGCCTCCTGCCCCCCAGCTCAGGGACGGCCTATATCCTGGGGAGAGACATCTGCTCGGAAATGGACACCATCCGCAAGACGTTGGGGATGTGTCCTCAGCACAACGTTCTCTTTGACATGTGAGGCCGGAGGGCCCCGTGGGGTGGGGTGGGTGATGGATGGGGGAGAGGCCAGGTGTGGGGCGGGAGCGGAAGGGACAAGTGCAGTGGGCTAGGACTGGTGGAACGTCAGGAAAGGCTGTGCCACTTACTGCTGCAGGGGAGAGAGTCCATCGCTTCTGGTGAGTGTCCCCAAGGCCTTCCTTGGGACTGGGAATATGGGGGAAATCCAGGCATTGAGCCGAGAACAGGGGCTGGGGTTATCCCAAGGCCAGGCTGCCCAGGAGAGCGGTTAACCCCTAAGAATATCCAGGACAAATAATTATTGGGAGGGGGCTTGGAAAAGAAACAGACAAGGTGGGCACCGTCCTTGACCCCATGACATGGCATTGCCAAAGGAGGGTGGAAGATTCACGTGCAATGAGGACGTGCGTTCATTGCCCGTACTAGATTGGGGTCAGCAAACCACTCTGCGCATGCTCAGAGATTCCTCCTGGGCAGTGGTCCTTCTGGAGAACACTTTGGTCGGTAAAGGACTTTTTGCAAGGATGCTGGAGACTTTCTCCTCTTTTAAAACCTTCCTTTTGTTAGGACCTTAGAAACAAAACCTAGAAGGGCTCGTGTTGAAGGGTGATAGAAAAGAGTCTAAATTCGGGGGACGATAGAAAGCAGTCTTACAAGGGAGGTCTGTGACTTCGAATGTGCGAAGGGAGGAACCTTAAGCTCACGACACCTGTGCTGTAGCGTTCTTGCCTCGATGATGATTTTGCCTTGCCTTCTCTTTTTCCCCCGAGTCTGACTGTGGAAGAGCACATCTGGTTTTATGGCCTCCTGAAAGGGCTCTCTGGACAACAGCTTCGAGATGAGATGGAGCAGATAATACAAGATGTGGGGCTGCCCCATAAGCGGGGGGAACAGACCAAGAAGCTGTCAGGTAAGGGCGTGGTGCATGAATTGCAAGATGCAGAAGGTGAAGTGGCTTCCTAGGATTACAAAACAAAAGTAGCTCCCTATCCGTTTCTGTTCTTACAATAAATAATGCAAATTCCATGGAATGGAATGAACTGGTGTCTCACCATAAGAACAATAAAATAACAAAGCAAAGAGCATCCAACAATCAAAATAACGAAGATTAAAACCCCAGTTAAAACCAAAGGAACATTAAAATAATGGGGAAACGTAAAGATTTTCACCAGACACCGAAAAGAATAAAGCATCGGTACCAGGTGAACCTCTCTGGGGAGTGTATTCCATAAATGGGGCACCACTTCTACCAAGAAAAGTTCAAATTAAAGTAGGCTATAAAGGAGTCCAGATTCAGAGAATGATTGGAAGTTTTAAAAGCCGTATTATGCTATATTAGCATAAAACAAGAATAATGCGGGGCTCTAGCAAGCAAGCCAAGCTACATGGGAGAAGTCCATCCTTGCACACCCTCTTAGGGCACAATGGCCTCCCTGCATGATAAGCCAAGATTACTTTTTCTTCCCTCTGAGAAAAAAAATAGAGCAAAATGTCCAACTGAAACCACGTTCTCTCATTTTTCTCCCGTTAGGTGGGATGCAGCGCAAACTCTCCGTGGCCATTGCGTTCGTGGGCGGCTCCAAGGTGGTGATTCTAGACGAGCCCACGGCGGGCGTCGACCCCTATTCCCGCCGAGGCATCTGGGAACTGCTGCTGAAATACCGTGCAGGTATCTGGGGTTGGGAGTGGGTCAGTTGGAAGCAAGAGCAAGCTCAGGGACAGTAGATTCTCTTGCGTATTTCCACCAAAATGTGCAATAAAACAAGCAGGACCCCCCCATAAATTTGCTGTCATGATCAGCCAAGGTTAGCATGCATCTAAAAGCTGCAGAGCAAGGGGATATCTTGAGAAACGTGGTAAGAGTTGGAGCTCTCCTGTGGCGATGCGATCCAAGCTCCAGGTGCTTCCTGCAAGGATGTGCTTCAGGATACCGGGACAGAGGGACTGGAAAACATCAAGATACGTGCCCCCCCCCCCCCGAAATAGCTCTTCTGCTGATCTGCAGCCACTTCTGATTGCTAAACATTGGCAATACTTGATTTGCTCTTTATTTACTTAAATCCTGTTTGTTTAGCTTTTTTCCTTTTCCATAAAGTGCGGGTGGTGTCTTATAGGAAACCCAACATTTTCACAAAATACAACCTGCAAGCAGAATGAAAGGAACAAACCAAATGAAATGGTTATTTAGCCAAGCAAAGGAGAGTTTGAAACAGTAAGCAATGCACACAGTAGAAATTGATATGTTACAAAGCCCTGCTTAAATCAAGCTACCTCAGTCACCCAGCTAAGGGGTACCTCTTGCAAGAGGTCGTCACATCTGGGTGCCATAGCAAAGAAGGCCCCGTTTGAGGCAACTGGCTCAGATGGTGGCAGGGCTCTAGGGCAGCCTGTGAGGTGGAGCAGAGACCTTCTGGTAAGGAGGGATCTTATAGGAAATACTTAAAGGAACTGGAGAAGTCTGCCCTTGGGGATGTAATCTAGGCCATCCAAAATCATATTAAGAGTACCTCTCTTCTTCTGCTCCCCTAGGCCGGACCATCATCTTGTCCACCCACTACATGGAGGAGGCAGACCTGCTTGGGGACCGTGTGGCCATAATTTCTCAGGGCCGGCTCTGCTGCTGCGGTTCCTCACTCTTCCTCAAGACCAAACTGGGGACAGGGTACTATCTGACCCTGGTGAAGCGGGAGGGCTGGAGCGGCTGCAGCTCGGCCGGCCCCGCCGGTGGCGCTGTGTCCCCCAACAGAAAGGTAAACGAGGCGTCCTTGCTTCAGAACATCTTGACCGCTGTTCATAAAAGGTGGGGCAGGGGGGCTTGAGGGCGTTCCCTGAGGGTGACCACATCCACTTGCTGCTGTGTGTTGACCCATGGGAAGAAAATGTCTAGTTGGACTTTTGTAATGTGCTCTTCGTGGGGCTGCCCTTGAACATGGCCCAGATTCTTCAGCTGGTCCTAAACAGAGCAACCAGTCTTTTGATGAGGGCCGGTAGGTATGCTCACGTCACACCGGTCCTCTACCATCTGTGCTGGCTGAAGTCCGGGCCCAAGTTAAGGTGCTAAAAATGACATACAAAGCTCTAATCAGTTGAAGGCCTGGATATCTGAAGGAGTGTCCCCTTCTGCATTCCATTCATTTATTTATTTATAGTGTTTCTACCCTGCCCTTAACAGTGTCTCAGGATGGCTTACAACATAATCAACAGACAATAAATAAACAGAAAAGATAGAAACAACATAATGCAAAAGTGACTAAGCATGACAATGTTGTTGTTGCTAGTCCTGAAGTTGTGTCCGATCCATCGCGATCCCATGGACAACATTCCTCCAGGCCTTCCTGTCCTCCGCCATCCCCCGGAGTCCACCTAATCTCACACTGACTGCCCCAGTGACTCCATCCAGCCACCTCATCCACTGCCGTCCCCTTCTCCTTTTGCCATCAATTGTTCCCAGCATTAGGCCCTTCTCTAGGGAGTCCTTCCTTCTCATTACGTCGCTAAAATATTTGGGCTTCATCTTCAGCATCTGGCCTTCTAAACAGCAGTCAGGGTTGATCTTCTCTAGGACTGACCGGTTTGATTGCCTTGCGGTCCAAGGGACTCGCAGGAGTCTCCTCCAGCACCACAATTCAAGGGCCTCAATCCTTTGGCACTCAGCCTTCCTTATGGTCCAGCTTTCACACCATGCATTGCAACTGGGAAAACCATAGCCTTGACTATACACACTTTTGTTGGCAGGGTGATGTCTCTGCTTTTTAGTATGCTGTCTAGATTTGCCATCGCTTTCCTCCCCAGGAGCAAGCGTCTTTTAATCTCTTGGCTGCAGTCCCTATCTGTGGTGATCTAGGAGCCCAAGAAAATAAAATCTGTCCCTACCTCCATTTCTTCCCCATCTATTTGCCAGGAAGTGATAGGTCTGTATGCCATGATCTTAGTTTTCTTAATATTAAATTTCAAGCCAGCATTTGTGCTCTCCTCTTCCCCCTGCATCAAGAGTCTCTTTAGTTCCTCTTCACTTTCTACCATTAGTGTGGTATCATCTGCATATCTGAGGTTGTTGATATTTCTTGCAATCTTAATTCCAACTGGTAATTCATCCAGCCCCGCCTTTCTCATGATGTGCTCTGTATATGAGTTAAATAGGCAGGGCAACAGTATACAGCCTTGCCGAACTCCTTTCTCAATTTTGAACCTATCAGTGGTTCCGTGTCCAGTTCTCACTGTTGCTTCTTGACCTGCATGCAGGTTTCTCAAGAGACAAATAAGATGGTCTGGGACTCCCATCTCTTTAAGAACTTGCCACAATTTGTTGTGATCCACACAATCCAAGGCTTTAGCATAGTCAATGAAGCAGAAGATGTTTTTCTGGAGCTCCCTAGCTTTCTCCATGATCCAGCGTATGTTGGCAATTTGATCTCCAGTTCCTCTCCCTCTTTGAAATCCTGCCTGTACTTCTGGTAGTTCTCGGTCCACATACTGCTGGAGCCCAGCTTGTAGGGTTTTGAGCATCACTTTGCTAGCATGTGAAATGAGTGCAATGGTGTGGGAGTTTGAACATTCTTTGGCATTGCCCTCCTTTGGGATTGGAATGTAAACTGACCTTTTCCAATCCTGTGGCCACTGTGGAGTTTGCCAAATGTGCTGGCATATTGAGTGTAGCACTTTTACTGCAGTGTCTTCTAGGATTTGAATAGCTCAGCTGGAATGCTGTCACCTCCACTAGCTTTGTTGTTGCTCAGACTTCCTAAGGCCCATTTGACTTCACATTCCAGGATGTCTGGCTCGAGGTCAGTGACCACCCCATCGTGGTTTTCAGGGACATTAAGATCTTTCTTGAATAGTTCTTCTGTGTAATCTTGCCTCCTCTTCTTAATCTCTTCTGCCTCTGTTAGGTCCCTGCCATTTTGGTCCTTTATCATGCCCATGTTTGCATGGAGCATTCCCTTCGTATCTCCAATTTTCCTGAAAAGATCTCTGGTCCTCCCTATTCTATTGTTTTCTTCTATTTCTTTACACTGCTCATTTAAGAAGCCCTTCTTATCTCTTCTAGCCATTCTGTGCAATTCTGCATTCAGTCGGGTGCATCTTTCTCTTTCTCCCTTGCCTTTTGCTTCCCTTCTTTCTTCAGTTATTTGTAAAGCTTCCTCAGGCAGCCATTTTGCTTTCTTGCATTTCTTTTTCTTTGGGATGGTTTCAGTAGCATGACAATAAAAGCAGTTAAAAATTTAAATGTTAAAATGTTGGGCAAATAAAAAGGGTTTTACCTTGTGCTGAAATGAATATAGTGTCGCGCCAGGTAAATACATCTGCCAACCCCCTGAGATCCAGGTCTGAGGTCCTTCTTCAGGAGCCATCTTTGAAGGAGATCAGAATAGTTGCTACCTGGAGAAGGGCCTTTTCTGCAGTGGTACCCTTGCTCTTGAACCTGTTTCTCAAAGAAGTACGCTTGGTGCTGACCCTTTATTCATTCTGGTGCCAGGCCATACCCTTTCTATTTTCCCTGTATTATAAGAACCAACTGTGTTTTTAATATTGAGAGCTAGTGTGGTGTCGTGGTGAAGAGCTGGGACTGGGACTCAAGCGATCTGAGTTCTAGTCCCCGCTCGGCCATGGAGCCAACTGGGTGACTTTGGGCCAGTCACAGACTCTCAGCCCAACCCACCTCACAGGGTTGTTGTTGTGGGGATAAGATGGAGGAGGAGATGTAAGCTGCCTTGAGCCCTTTGCAGGAAAATGGCAGGATATAAAATCAAAAATAAATAAATAAATATTGGTTTATTAGATTTATTTTATTGCATGCTGCCTCTACTGCTCGTATCGCCATCCTGAGACTTTGGAATAAAAATGCTCCAGAATAAATATTTTTATGAGCAGCATCTCCAGCTGCCAATCCTATCCCTTCTCCACTGGTCTGCATTTTAGGGGAGGGCAACCGACACCCCATGGGCCAGTGGTCGTCCACAGAGGCGTATCCCTGGACGCTTGAGCTTCTGTTTTCTGGTGCTTCTCCTGCTCCAGACATCGCCTTTCTCTCTGTAGGCTGACAGTGATTCCGAGAGGAGCTGCGACACGGGACTCGGGAGCGAACCCAACAGCGAGGCCAATGCCACCAGTGAGTTACACCTCCTGGGTCCAGGAGGCTCCTGGCATGTTCTATCTGGGCTCAGAGTGTGCAAGGAATCCGTATGGGGTGGGAATCCATCAGATTCTCGGGGCTCAGATCCCCAAATGTTCAGCATCCACTGCCTGCTTGTGAGCAATCGAGCTGTACACCCTGCCTTCGTCACTGATGGCCGTGAGTAGGGAAGAGGGTCAGTCACCGAGAACGGCTCAAAGTATCCCTCTTCTGCATCCCATAGTTGCTTCTGAGGGAGAAAGTTGCTGGTTGCACAACTCTTTGAAGGGTGTACAGCTATTAAAGCAGCATAAAGCTGTTTTTGTCTCTTGCTGCAGAGGATGAAATTAGAACTGGTAGACTGCTAGAACAGAGACCCAGGTTTGGGCTTGCTGAAACTTTTCAACCGCCATGACTTTTCCTTGGCTGGAAACCCAAATAGCAGCACTTTTTAACGCTGTATGGGGGACAAAAGGAGGAAGGCTGTAGCTGTCATGTTTGACTTCCGGGCCTCCACTGGTCGGCCACTAAAGAACGAGTTGGATAAGATGCGCCAATGGCTTTGACTTCTTCCCACTGGAGTTGCTTCGCCCAGGCGCTTCTCTGGCTCCCTGAAAGGAGCCCCATGAAATTGTTATGGTTTTGAACAGATGTGCTCCAGCTGTCAGCTGTGATCCAGAAGCTGGTGCCGGGATCTTGTCTGGTGGAGGAAATTGGCCAGGAAATACTATATGTCCTGCCGTATAGTGGAGCAAAAGATGGTACTTACGGGGCTTTATTCCAAGAGCTGGACGCTCGGCTGGCTGAATTTGGCATCTCGGGATACGGCATTTCGGACACCAGCTTGGAAGAGGTAGGGATTTTTCATCAGAAGTGACCCTTCAGATTGCCTGGCCAGGTGACAGAGGTCCTTGTCCCTTCGGCCAGCTCTGACTCACCAAGCGCTGCTTCAGAAGCTTTTCTTCAAAAGCAGGACCTTGAGAAAGAGAATCAAGGAGGACGATTGTCCATGGTGTAGGGCTTTAGAGCTTCCGTTTGTTTTTCTTCCAGATTTTCCTGAAAGTTGCAGAGGATACAGGTGTGGATGCAGCAGGTAACATGAAATGCACCTGCTGCAGGTGCTGCTATACAGAGGGGGTCACAAGTAGAGATGCTAAGGCTTAAATTTTGCGGCTGGGCAGAATGGAAATTGTAAGGTCAAAATGTTCCCTTCAGAGGCTGTTCCTTTGTACATGGGAGGGATGCTTTCCCTGCGCACCAGGCCAAATGGTGCAGGAAAAGAAATTATGCTGCCAATTATATTGGGATCGCTTTTTGCAGTGTTTCATCCATGCACGAGGTCTTGTCAATGACACAGAAAGATATGGGGAAAGAAGGAAGGAGCACAAGGAATGGAGGGCTGTAGCCAGTGATGTTTCCTCCAGGTCTGGATTTGGGAGCCTCCTGCTCATTTATTTATTTAAAACTTTTATATGCTGTCCCTTATGCCTTGGCATCTCAAGATGGCTCACAATCCATAAAATTGAAATACAATAAAATCACATATATAAATAACATGATTCAATAAAAGTTTACATAAAAGACAAAATTGAAACGACTGTTCAAAATGATTAAAATACTAATTTTAAAAATAGTGATTAAATAAAAAGCTTTTGACCTGGCGCTGAAAAGAATATAAACTCGGTGCCAGGCGCACCTCTCTGGACAGCGCATTCCATAATCTGCAAAGCTAGCTCTGTTTTGTTTTACAGGGCTCCAGCGTCTCCTTTGGAGGCACTGAATGGGTCTTGCAATGGACTGCACAAGGACCAATAATTCAGTTTAAGGATAAGACAAAGGATCAGATTAATTCAGATTAAGGATAAGACATTAAGGATCATGATTTGGGGTGATTTAGACAAGAAACACTTGCTCACCATGATTTTTGTGAAATATAAAAAACTCCTAGTCATTACTTCTGAACGGGCACATATAGATTATACATACCACATGCAAATTTTCTGCAGATACACATCTATATAAAGTCTTTCCTAATTTGTAAGTGTCTACCAGCATTCTTAGATGGTGCACCCCCTGGAATTCCAAACAGGATGAAGGATGTCAAATGGAAAAACTCATTACATTAACGAATTACTGGAATTATAATGGAATAGAAATTCTGGAGGAGTGCTATGCAGGACAGGATGAAATTCCGAAGGACTAGCACCATGAAAACATGAGGCTCAATTCTTCCCTCTGGGTTCACTTTCTTCCAGTCACGTTTCTTCCTTTTGTGCAGGGGATGCAGATACCTTCTCCCAGGGTGTCAAAGTGGCAACTTCAGCATCTTCTTGCCCCATCAGGAAGCTGAACGAGGACGTGGACACAGCTGAGGCAGAGATCGGTAAGTGAGAGAGTGTTCGAAGAGGTAAGTGGCATTTTCTGCCACTGATCTTCTTTCACAGCCTCACTCATGGAATGCTTGTTCTGTGAGCCCTTTTGGTCCCTTCCTAATCTTTGGTTTCACTGAGTTGCTTATTTATTAGATTTATATCCCACTTTTTCTTGCAATGAACCTAATACAGCTTCCACCATTCTCCTCTTCCTGCTTTCCATCTGATCCCCATCACAACCCTGTGAGGTAGGCTGGGCTGAGAGGCTGTGGCTGGCCCAAAGTCACCCGCTTGGTTCTATGGCCAAGTGGGGACCCAAACCCAGATCTCCTGAGTCCCAGTTTTGTGCTCTTAACCACGACTCCACACACAAATCATGGCGCCTTGGGCTGCAGCTTGGGTGTATTGAATGGGTGAATTTTCACTGGAAGCTCCAATCCAGGACATGGGTCAGGGGTGAATTATATTACTCAGGAAAATCTTCCTACCCAAAGATCCTACTTGCTTGTTTCTACATTTATATTCCACCTTTTTTGGCCCGTTGCAAGGAACTGAAAGCTCACGGTGCGTTACAGGGCCCACGCAATCTTCCTCTTCCTCACTGATTCCCCATAACAACCTTATGAGGTAGCTTAGGTGGACAGGCCTAAAGCTTCATGACCTCAAGCGAATTTGCCTGGGAGTGCATCAATTTGATTTGCTCTGCCTTTCTGAATGCACAGCAAATTAAGTTCAGATCCAAACATCTCCAGTGTAAAAAAATACTGAAGAGGGTGGCAGTCCTTGGACTGCTTCTGGATTAGACCACCTTCTGGCTGTGTTCAGCTACAGCACCCATCATCCCCATTCAGGATTCATATGTTTATGAGCATAGGAAGATGCCCGTCATGGGTAAATCTCTTCTTTTTGCTTGGTGCTCCTCAGAATTCCAGCTTGCTTTGATTAACCCCTGTGCTTGTAGAGTCTGCTTTGCAAAAACTCAGCACCAGGGGTAACCCCCGGAGGGTCCCCAAATGGCCACATCCCCTCTGTTGACCCTGCCCCTTCTTCACCACCGGGGATGGTTTGATGGTGACCTGGCTGTTGCGTAGTTTTTTGTAAGGTTGAAATAAAACTCTGGTATGCCACAGTTCCAGCAAAGTCTCAAAATTGGCACAGAAGCACAAAAGCCTAGGAGAAGACACTGCGTCTTCTGTTTCTGCAAACCCAGCCTTGGGAGTTGCGTTTTCATGTGCTTATCTGGGAAGAGCTTTCAGATTGCGATACAAATCAGTTGCCTTATATCACGCAAGCCATTAAATGCCAAAGTTTTCTCTAGTAATTTTCACTGCCACTAAGTGGGAATCAAGGGAAGCACTTCTCTACCTGCGCAGGTGTTTGGGGCGGGGATGCACAACAGAGAGCACAACGACTTGCGCCCGCTCACCTCATGGAGGCAGGTGTACTGGACATGATACGGTGCAACTTTCTCCTCTCCTTTGATCTCCACACTGATGTGCAGCCGGATAGCTCCGGAGACGGCCGACTTGTCTGTCCGCTTGTCTGAAAAGGTGCAAGGGCAGAGAAAGGATATGAAGAGCAGCGTAGGCAGTCTATTTTTATTATGCTAGTGGGGAGATGCGGAATTATTTTCGCCACAAAGGGAGCAGAATCTCATGCCTGGGATTTACATCTTCCCTGGTGAGCCCCAAAGTGGGAAAACTTTATATTTTCTAGGCAAGGTTTGTCTGCTCAAAAGCTGAAACTGCTTGCAACAAGAAGGACATGGCAGTATGGACATGACCTTGGACAATATCCAGAAAAGCAGGGAAATGTTTCATGAACACACAAAGTGGAAGAGAAAATTACTAGAGAAAACATTGGCATTTAATGGATTACGTGATATAATTTTGGATATTTTTGCCCCCTGCTCTGCAGAACGTGCCTTCCTGCCCTGCAAAATTTTTCTGAACATCAGTTCAGCCCTCACACTGAAGGGGGTAAAAGGACTCTCTAGGGAGGACTTTTAAAAAAGGAGGATCTTGGTTCACTGGCTCCATGTCTCAGCTGCAACCACTCTTCCCTGCTTCTTCCTGTCAAGAAAAGACCGAACTTTTAAAAGCAATTCTTATGTGAAATGATTACTTCTCTTTGGCTACTTACTAATTTTCTGTAATGATGTATTATCGTGTAAAATTGTAGTTATAAGTTTAAACAAAACAATGCTTTGTGAAGTTTCTTGTATCTAGTTTTATAAGCAATTTTAGTATGTGGTCCCTTGATAACTTTTTCTTTTGATGCTTCTGTTTTTTTTCTGTTTCTTACTTACAAACACATACACAAACTTCACTTTAATCTGTTCTTGGATTAAGGCCCTCTGCATTCCCCCAGATTTATGTCCAGACTTCGCTCCAGCACGAAGCACCACAGGTTAAAGCCAGAAAGAACTTCTCACCAACTTAACCTCCTCTCTCTCTCTCTCTCCTTGTCTGCATTCTTATGCTCAGGTAAAGGACGTAAGAAAGGTAAATGTTTCAGGATTTGCTGCCTTCTAAGCCTGGGCACCTTCTTACACTCATCAGCTAATTGTACTTTATTACACACCAAAGAGCAAACAATCCTGGAAGCCTTTCAGTTTTCTAGGAGGCTGCACCAGATTGTTCGTTTCTTGGCTTTTTCATCACTCAGGATTTATCCTTCAGGGCCAAAGTTGCACAGACCCAGCAGAACTCTTTGATTAGATAGTTAGACACATTTCTCATCACTGTGGACTCTTTGTTCCCCTAAATTTAGCCGCTGTCCTAACAGAAGCCTGATGGACTTTGGTCAGGATGACTTTTTCCAGCCATAATCTTGCTTCCTTTGTTTAAAGTATTCAGACAGCTTTGATTACGCAGTGGTATAAAAATGAAATTCATATCAAATCATCAGGCATGTATTTTGGCATGGGTTTGTCTTGAGCCTGGAGGGATGACCTCTTTGCTTTATGCAGCAGAATTTATCTCCTGATGGAGATACAAATGACAAGAGCTGCTTTATGGATATGGGTCAGATAAACTATTGTGACTAGGCTCTTGTTGCCTTTGGGGATTGTGCGGGCTCATTTTATTCAGGTTATATGTCACTTTTTTCCTTGCAAAGAACTCCAAGCAGCTTACATGGGTCTCCTCCTGCTCCCCGCCTTATCCCCACAACAACAGCCCTGTGAGGTAGGCTGGGCTGGGAGTCTGTGACCTGCCCAAAGTCACCCAGTGGGCTCCATGGCTGAGCGGGGACTCGAACCGGGATCTCCTGAGTTCCAGGCCCTCACATTTGTCCTTTCCTGCCTCAGGATGAGACACTCCAAAATTGCCCTACTCTGTCATTGGAGGTACCCCCCGTTTCCTATTCCTCCTGCTAAGAACTCTGGGGGTTAAATGTAGCTTTCTCTGTTTTAGCCACACAACAGCCTGATCAGGTTGTACTGATTTCAAGCAAGAGCTTCATAGCAGAGCAGGGGGTTTGAACCAGAATCAAGGAAGAGAGATCTTGTTCTGGCTGGTCTCTCTGCTGTCCCCGCTTTTCCAGGCCATGCTTAACAGACAGGTGCTGGGGCTCAGCTATCCCTGTGCCCGTCACAGTCAGGACTCTGTTTCCCTGCAAGCCTGGCAGATGGGCTTTGAGTCCGGCGGGTGCCTGCAGTTAAGGCTTCCTGAGAACGGCTTCTCCTTGGCGCTGCTGCTTGTTCCCCGCTTCATCTTCTCCTCATGCCTTCTGCCTTTATGTTGACCCCTGCCTGGCACCACTCCGACGCGTCGTTTGGCTCCAGAAACGCCCCCGTTAGTTTTGGGCCATGCGCTGCCTTGGCCCTGCTGACCAGCATCCTGATGGCGGTCCTAGCTGAGCTCTGACGTCGCTTCTTTCCCTTTCGCCTGCAGAGGAAGCAAAGGAGACGGATCTCTTGCAGGGCACGGGAGCCCAGGTTTCTTCCCGGTTGACAGGGTGGGCACTGACTTGCCAACAACTCCGTGCGCTCTTCATCAAGAGACTCCTGTATACCAGCCGTAGCACCAGAGGACTCTTTGCACAAGTATAATAATGGCCGTCTGTTCTCTTATAATGCTGTGGAAAAGGAGTGGGGCAGGGGATGAGAGGGCGAAAACTGAATTGGGTCACCCTCTTGTGCTGGTTGTCCTGTTCTGACACACGCGCTGGTGACTTCCCGCCTTGACTTCTGTAATGCGCTCTACGTGGGGCTACCCTTGAAGACGGTCCGGATACTTCAATTGGTTCAAAGTAGAGCTGCCAGGCTGCTGACGGGGACTGGGCGTTATGTTCACATGACTCCAGTCCTCCATCAGCTTCACTGGCTTCCCATTGAAGTCCGGGCCCAATTCAAGGTGTTGGTGATGACCTATAAAGCCCTAAACGGCTTGGGTCCTGGTTACCTGAAGGAGCGCTTACATCCATATATGCCCGCCCGCCCCCTGAGATCGGCGGGAGAGGCCCTTCTCCGGGAACCCTCCGTGAAAGAAATTAGGAGGGTGGGTACTCGGAGGAGGGCTTTCTCTGCGGTGGCGCCCAATCTATGGAATGTGCTCCCCAGAGAGGTCCGCCTGGCGCTGTCGTTATTTGTTTTTCGGCGCCAGGCGAAGACCTTTTTATTTAAACGTCATTTTAATTGTTAATATTATTTTATATTGTTAATTTGTTGTATGTATTATATTTTAATTTTATGTTGTGAGCCGCCCCGAGGCTTCGGCAAATGGGGCAGCATAGAAATGTTTTAATAATAAATAAATAAATAAAACTGGCAGCAGGATGAAGACCAGGAAGCAGAGGAAGGCAAGAAGGGCTTTGCAAAGGTCCTGCCAGCCTGAGCGTGCTTCTGCTAGGCTTGGGTCGGCAGCCTTTAACACTCAAAGAGCCATTTGGACCCGTTTCCCACACAAAAGAAAACACTGGGAGCCGCAAAACCCTTTTGACACTAAAATGAAGATCACACTGCAAATAGCGTTTTTTACCTTACTGCTGTGTGTATCTTCATTAGGACTGAGCTGCAGCTCTTGTTCAGTCACTAAAAACTGTTGTTTTTAATCTTACATTATAAACTAGTGGGACTCCTTTCATATATTTTGAATAGGAGAACAGCTTCCTGCAGAGTCAAAGTCAGTGCTAAAGGGCTGTGTGCATTAAGCAGCAAACCCCATAAATTCATCAGCAGTAAAAGCAAACGAATCTACCCACATATCATTAAACGTTCGGTTTTCTTCAGAAACTTTTCTTCGATTTATTCATGGTTGGCCTACGGGGCGGGTGGGGGGGGGGCTCAGTAAATCAGTGCTGGTCCTGGTCCGCAGATCAGTGGCTCTGCCTGCTGGAGATATAGGTGTGTTTAGTGACTGATTAGCAGATGAACAGTCAAGTGCTGTGAATTGTGACAGGTCCCAAGCGCAGCTTTTGACATTCAGAGGAAGGAGATTACATTAGGACAAAGAGAATCCTTTCAGCAGTGTTTGGTGTAACATGAGAGCCTGCAGGAAGCTTGTTTAGCAGAGGAATGTATTAACCAGCTAGCGCTGCCTTCCTGAGAGGAGCTCTGAGCAGATCGGCAGCTGTGCCGGCGCGTGTTTTGAGCGACGGAGCCGCAGCAGAGGGGTTCAAGAGCCATGTGCGGCTCCGGAGCCACGGGTTGCTGACCCCTGTGCTAGCAGAATAGGTGGGTGTTGTCTCACAAGGGCGTGGGTGTGCTGATTGGCTTGTTCAGCCTGATTTCGTAGCCCAGAACTTCTGCAAGGGGAGGAGATGAAGGTTATTCTAGAGACCCATCCTTTGCACCAGAAACTGGCCAGGAGGATGTGTACCCCAAGAAAGCAGCTTGTGCTTAGTCTTTGCTAGGGTCTGCTGCACACAGGGCTATTGGAGTGCTGAGTCCCCTGACCTTCCAGGGTTTCATTTCCAGATTGTGCTCCCAGCTGCCTTTGTCTGCATTGCGCTTTTCTTCAGCCTGATCGTCCCGCCGTTTGGCAAGTATCCACCCTTGCTCCTGGAGCCCTGGATGTATGGAATCCAGTCCACCTTTTTCAGGTACACCTGCACTCCTCGTTAGGGGTGAGCCAAACATCTGAATTTCCTGGGGGATGCAAAGAGGAGATGAAACTTCCTCCAGGGCTCCGTTTTGTGGGGGGAATTCTGAGGTCAGGTCAGATTTCATGAGCTGATAGATTCCAGTCTCCTTCTTGCAATGTGGTTGAATCTGTTTCAGCCAGCAGGGCGAATTCCATTTTTGATAAACTTCTGTTGATGCAATTCCAGGGATGGGAAAGAATGAAGTCAGCTTGGCAATTTGGTCTCATATCTTCTATTTCATCTTACATTACCAGCCAAAAGGGTTGCTAATTAAGCCTCAGGGGAAGATAGTCCTGTCCTTACTGATACCGATAGTCATCCATTTCAGAAGAATTACTGGATCTTTGGTTGCATCTAATTCAGCAAAGTTGTGTTTCTGTGTACTGGACACTACAATATCTTTTTAATAAGGATTTGAGTAATTTGGCTAACTTGTTGGAGATAGTTAAGAGAAGCATTAACTTTGTTCTATCTGTTCAGCCCACAACTGAATCTTGTGTTCAGTTCTGGGCCCCTTGTTACAGGAGGGATATAGCCAGGTTAGAGTCAGTGCAGTGAAGGGCCACAAGGTTGGTGGCCGGTTTGCAGGGGATGCCATATGAGGCAAGACAGAGGGAACGGGGTCTCTTCAGCCTGGAGGAGAGGAGACTCGGGATCTGTTGGTGGCATACAGGTGTGTGAGGGGGTGTCACACGGAGGTGGGCAGAGACCTGTTCTCCCCTGCAGAGGAAGGCAGGACGCGCTCCAAGGGAGCCAAGCTCAGGGAGCCCAGGTTCGATTTGGATGCCAGGATGTCCTTCCTGACAGTTGGGACCCCGAGGGGGTGGAATGGGCTTCCAGCGGAGGTGACTGAGGCCCCATCGGTGAGGGTGTTCAAGGATAGGCTGGACATGCACATGGTGGGCATGTCTTGAGCGGAGCCGGCTTGAGCCGGGGGTCAGACTAGATGGCCCGGCAGGCCCCTTCCGACTCACTCTGTTTCTGTACTTTAGCAAGTCCAATGTTCACTGCTTTTGCGTAGGAAGTAATAGTACAGAAAAATCTTGCGATGGAAAACCATTTATTTGTTCTACTGCAAATTCTACTCAATCATTTACTTGCTTCTTGGTATTTAGAGAAGGTCAATGTGAATAGTCACCTAAAAGATTAGCATTATAACACTGGAAGGACAGATGATTGCCTGTAATAACAATAATTTATTGGAGCCTTGAAGATGCTCTGAAATGGTAGTCTTTAGGCATATCATTCAGGCATTAGGCCATCAGGCATTCATGTAGTCTGCCGCCTCTTAAAGTCAATGCAGAACTAAGCCTTAGAAGAACACACATGCCCACAAACACACTCTGTCCCGCACGCCCACACACACACACTCTCTCCCAGGCGCACATCGCATAAGTGTCCATCGCAATGGATAAATTCAAACCTTAAGTTGCCATACTTTCAATTCCTCTTTTATTTTTGTGTTCTGTTTTGATTTATTGAAATTTACAATAAAACTTAATGCACAGAGAGAGCGGGGGGATGCCAACTTTTTAGAAAAGGGGAAAACTTTACTGCAGTTATGGAGTGACCAAATATTTGGTTCACACGGGAAGATGACAAGGGAAGGTGGGAGAAGGAGCAAGGGGTGGGACCACCTGGCGGATCCAAGAAGGTTGTGTTTGGCCCCCTAACCTGAGCTTTTGCTGCCCTTCCCTCATGGCAGCAGCCACTGGGGGTCACCAATATGTTCTCCCCGACCCCTGAACATATCTCAGAAGACTACTTGGCTGCATAGAATGTTCTGGGTTGCCCTCAGGTTTTAAGCATGGCGTCCTTGAAGAACAACTTCGGGCTCTGCCTAACTAGACTTCATGGCCTCTGAATTGAAAGAGGACACTTTTCAAGAGCTGAACTCTCCCTGCTTGGTTGAACCGCTTTTTCCACGTGTGGGAGGCCCTGGGAGGGTGCTTGTCCAAAAGCGCATTTCCTTTCTTGGAATGTCTCTTCATTTCCCATTCCCCAGCGATGAGTCTCCAGGGGACGCTGGTTCTGCCCGTCTTTTGCAAGGATTTCTGGATGATCCTGGCTTTGGCACTAAATGCATGAAGGATAGTATGGAAGGGTGAGTCTTTCAGAGCAATAATTTCTCTTGTGCTTTTTAGGAGAAGCAGCATGGCACATCTGGTCTTCCAAAACAGTTTGTTTCGGAATCTCTTCCCAGATGAATTAACTTGGATTTATTTGCAAAGCAGAACTGATACATTAGGTAGGATCGGGCTAGCGGCTAAAATGGTGAAACAAGGGCAGCTCTTCATTTCTGTATTCTTGACCATCAGGACAACTGGAAAGGCAGGTTTACTCTTAGGGCAAACTGATGTACAAAGGGTAAAGAAAGCATCTTTTGCAGTCTTTTCATGGGCAAAATCACTGAGGCCTTTTATTCCCTTGACGACTGCAATCAATAAATAAATAAGGAAGTAAAGGTCTGTTTGAACCTTCTTTTGTTCTTTTTTTTTTTAGTAAGTTTTATTGTTATTTTAGTAGTTAGTAGAAAATAACAAATAACAATAACAAATAACAAGAACCTTCTTTTGTTCTGAGCCCTGGCAGCTGGCACTCCCAGGTCACTGGCCTCGCAAGCTGTTGCACCTGTGGAACTCCTGCCCTTGCCCAAGTCTGCCAATTTTTTAAAATTATGGAAAAAATTCTGCACATCACGGGAGCCAATCCAAAAAACGTTTTTCCAGCCATTGAGCTCCTGTCCAAGGTGGAACCTGGCCCTTTGCAGAAGCTGTCAACGGCTGTCAAAACACGACATGGGAAAGAGAGGAATGCAGTCAAGGCTGCTTTTGGGATCTCCAAACGGAAAAAGGGTAAAGGGGAAAATGCTGTGGTGAACCAAAGCAATTTCCGCAGGGGCATCCTGGCAATGCTAGTCCTCCTCCAAAGTGCCAGTGGGGGGGGGGGGGGGGGGGCGGGGGGGTCCCTGGGGAACTTTGGGAAACAAAAAGGAACGTTGGCCCCCCCCTGACCACCCCCCCCCCCCACCGCCACCAAGCCATTTGCTAGCTGGTCTCTGGTACCTATGACAGAATTAACTCTGCAGACTGAATGATAAATTTATTTATCTATCTACATATATTTATCGGCTGCCTATAACTGTCAAGGCCTTCCTAGGTGGCTTACAGTGTAAAACATACCACGAGTAAAAACACATTAAAATCATCTATAAAAACAAATTAAAAAGGGCCACAGCATACAGACTATGTATATTTTATTTTATTTTATTTAAAACTTTGGCATGCTGCCCCTTATTCCTTGGCATCTCGTGCCTTGGTATCTTGGAGGCTAAACGTTTACAAAAATCCTAAAAAGGCAAGTTTTTCCGAAAGGAGAATAGAGATGGCGCCAGGCGGATTTCCCTGGGGAGGGAGTTCCAGAGATGGGGGGCAGCAGCGGAAAAGGCCCTGCGCCCGGTTGCCCCCCTTCTCATCTCCCCAAGGGCTTGTGGTTCTAGAAGGGCCCCCTGGGCTGATCTAAGGGGGCAGGTAGGTGTACATGGGTGCAGACGGTCCTTTGAATAAATCAACCCACTGGGGGTACAAGAACCCCTACAACAACCCATGGGTCATCAGGGTGGCTTGTTGCCTTCAAACAAGGCTACCTGTGGGAGCTGGGCAAGCCCTGACATGTTGTTGTGCTGTGTGAAGCCAGTGATTGTGCAAAGTTGGGTCTGCGTACTTGTAGAGAAATACAAGGAGTGGGAAGTTGTGATGAACTGTGCAACATCCCACAACTTCCTGTGCATGTGCAGCATCCGTGAGGTTCTGCACGGCATCCAGAAATCTGAAAAACGGAATGGCGATAGAATCTATGGGGGCGTTGTGTTGGTGCCATGTTGAAGACAAGAGGATTTGGAGGTGGAGAGTCCTTGCAGTGCTGTCAGACTCGGGTGCTAACCAGAAATTTCCCACCCACCCCTCTGGCTTGCTTTGAGGGCTTCAGGGTGGACCCATGCCAGATGTCCGCTTCCGGCGAGCAAAGCTTCTCCGTCCCAGAGGTTGCTCCATCTTTGGTGAAGGTTTTCCAGAGCGGCAACTGGACTCTGGCCGCTCCATCCCCTGCTTGTGTGTGCAGTTCCCCGTCATCCCGGAAGATGCTTCCTGAGTGCCCCGAAGCCGCAGGGGGGCTGCCCCCTCCTCAGGTAGACGCCTCCTTTTTGCCCGTGGGAAGTTAAAAACCCTGTTTGGCGGGTCAGGCGCTCAGCAAGGACAGCCACTTCCAGCACCCATGAGGTTTAAATCTGTTTTCTCCAGAACCTCTTCAGCAACCAATTTTCTTTCCCAGAGCTGCCCGTAGTTGGAGGCCGTGTTACGACAGACAAGAGCTATAAGCTTCGGCAAAGGGCGGCATAGAAATGTTATAATAATAATAATGATAATCTAAAATAGGCCAGTATTCTTGGTATTTTGGCCCTTGCCCTTTCCCTGCAGACTAGCCAATCTCTGGAATGCAGCTCCCAGAAATTTCTCCAAAATTAATGTTCAGTCCTCATGCTGGTGGGATTTTATTATCCTTGGGATAAGCCAGGAATTTCAAACTGTTCAGCCTCATCTGAGAGCAGCTGCAGGTCTACAAGTTGTGTGACCTGCATAGTGACCCATCTTCCCCATTCCAGGTGCAGAGGAACACGGGCGACATCCTGCACAACCTCACGGGAAGGAACATCTCCGACTACCTTGTGAAAACCTACCCAAAAGTCATTCGCAAGGGGTAAACATAATTCTTATTGAATTTGTGGGGGATGGGATACAATGTGAAGTTGATTATTTGTTTGACTGCTTAATGAGAAGCTTCTGGTTCTGTGAAAAAGCTGCCCTGAAGACTCCCACAACAGGCTTAAAATGTTATTAAACTTTAAAGGCTTTGACCTTACCTGACTTTTGCGTTTGTGTAGCAACTCCGTGAGTCTTTGCTTCCTTCCTCCCTGCTCGGTTCTCTTTAAAGGACTGGGCCTAGTACAAAGGAAGCCCACGGATGCTGGACTGGACAGATTCCAAAAAGGTTTGCCCCATCCTGAAACATGGCAATAGTTACTTTTTCTTTTTAAGGAGACACTAAGTTGGACTAAGACGCTTCTGTATTCTTGTAAATGCCTTTTCTGTGTCCCTCTCTGTCTTTTGACCTTTGTGTTCATTGTTAATGTTTCAGGTTAAAAAGCAAGAAATGGGTGAACGAACAATGGTAAGAGCTTTCTTTTAATTTTTCAAAAGTGCCCTGCAGCAGAACGTTGGCTGCTTCTGGGCAAGTTTTTCATGGCTCCCTTGCCCTGTGTCGTTCCTGAAGCTTCATGAAATGTTTCCTCATCCCCCTTCATATTGCCTTACTGCTTAGAATCATAGAATAGTGGAGTTGGAAGGGGCCATGAAGGCCATCAAGTCCAGCCCCCTGCTGTTGCAGGACACCAAGTCACACCCTCCCACTCAGGTGGCTGCCCAGATTCCTTCTGGATGCCTCCAGTGTGGGAGAGCCCCCCACCTCTCCAGGAAGCTGGCTCCACTGCCCCATTGCTCTGACAGTGAGGGAGCTTTTCCTGATGTCCAGCCTGAATCTGGGTTGCCGCAACTTGAGCTGATGATTCCGTGTCCTACACTCTGGCATCAGAAGGAGAGATCTTGACCTTCCTCTTTGCAACAGACTTTGAGGGACTTATAGGGGGATATCATGTCCCACTCAGCCTTCTCTGCTCAAGGCTGAACATGCCCAGTTCCCTCAGCCTCTCTTCACAGGGCAGCGTTTCCAAGCCCTGGATCATTTTTGTTGTCCTCCTCTGGATCCACTCTAATTTTCCTGCATCTAATTTATCTTCTTCTTCCATCTTACGTTCCTGTAAAGTTGAAAACAGGTAGACCATGGGCTGGGCAATGGTGGGAAGTCCATGGTTATATGGGCAGAGGGTGAATTGCTGGCTTGGTGTAAAAATCCGGCAGTGTTAAAAGGAAGATCATCATCTTCACGTCCTGTTGCGAATTCCTATTCTCAGTGTTGGCCCTCAGGGCAGTTTTGTTTCAAAGCTAAATTGGTCAATTTCCAGTGTTCCTTTGGAGTCCTGCACTGTCCCTTTCTTCGCAATTGTTCATTGTGAGGAGGCCTGTGGGCTGAGCAGTTCCCCGTCCCCCGGGATTGCTACCCGCTTCTGATGTTGCTAGGAGCCCACTGTCTGGATGCAGCCCAACACCTAAGCAATCCGTGTGTTTCTCGGCTTCTGGAGACTCGGCTCCGGATTGAGTTAAGACCCTCATGAGTCCAGAAGAGAACTGTCACCTGCACACTCCAACCAGACAATGTCAGAGCCCAAATATCTAGGTCTCCAGAGGAATTCTTTTTCTGTCTTCCAAGGTATGGTGGTTTCTCTCTGGGTGCCCAAAGCTCACAGGCCCTTCCATCGTCTGAGGAGGTGGCCAGCGTCATAAAGCGCCTTCGCAGCCTGCTAGACATCATCGAGGTGAGGACCAGGGTTCAGTTAGCAAGGGGAACCATCTGCTCCAGCACTAAAGGATGCAGAACTGGTTCCGAAGGCCTCCCGTGCTGCATGGGTTCCGCACTGCTGGAATTGAGGCCTGGCTTGATCCTGGATGCTTGTCGGTCCCATCCCAGTTTATTTCCAGCTCTGGTTTACCCCACCCTTTTGTGGCTGTTAGGGAGGCACTTTGAAGGAAGCTCAACCAAACTTGATCTCAGAATTGATGTGGCTGATTCATGGAAGGTTCTGTGTACATACCCACTTGGATGGGGGCATGCCCCACACCCAGGCCGGCAGGGCAGGCCGACCTGTCTCGGGGGTCTCACGGCTTGTGGGAGCCCTTCCAAGCTGCAGGGTGGGCGGTGGAGCTGAAGGCCAGTGGGATGCGGTTCTGAGAGAGGGGCGGCCATCCAGAGAATGCCAGATGGCCAAATAGGAATGAAAAGCCAAGAGGGAAGCTGTAGCTTTCTCCCTCAGACTGGGCCATGCATGCCATTTTGTCTAACTATTAATTATATTTCCATTTTGCCCAATAAATGTTTTTTTTCCTGGACAAATTGCAAACCACGAAAAGACTGCAACAGCTAAAGACTAAAACCATTTTTAACTGAAATAGTTTTTAAACATCAGGTAGGATACCAATATTTGAACAAAGCAAATTCTCAGTGCCATGGCAACATCCGTAGCAGTATAGCAATTTATGGAGCAGCCTTATCTAGAACTAGGTCTTTAAAGCTTGGGAGGAGAGAGAAGTTTTTGCCTGCTGCTGAGAAGGTGACAACTTAAGTACCAGATGAACCTTTTTGGAGAGGGGATTCTGCAAGTGTCTTTCTTGGAGTGGCCGGTCTGGCAGCCCCTTCCTTTGGCAGCCCCCGCCCCCCCAAGAGGCACAGGGGCTCTGAAGACGGCTGAATGGTCCAGAGGAAGATGTGGGAGGGACAGACCTTTAGCTATTCTGGTCCCGTGGCAGCTGGGGCCTCAGAGGCCGGCCACAGCGCATTGGTCTTGACTCACAAATGGATCGGAAGCTGCCCAGCTGGTCCCAGTTTGCAACCAAGGAACTCTGTTTCCACACCATCTTCCGAGGGAGCCCACAAGCAATGCACCCTTCAGCTTCACGCGCATGTGGGAACCGTTCGTGCACAGTGGGCCGAGCTGCACGTTGGCTGATTCATACCCCGCCCCATGAGTCTTCTTCGCTGATGGTTTGGGGAGGGCTGCTGGAGCAGGGTTGCTGGGAGCACGAGAGGGGCTGGGTGCACAGCGAAAAGTTTTGGCTCGTTGGGGCGACCCTTCCCATCTTCGATGTTTGTGTTTATGCAGGGAAGTTCCCTCGACAGATTTCTGAATGCCCTTGCGGGTTTTGTGGAGGCCTTGGAAACACGGCACAACGTGAAGGTGTGTAAAGGTTGGGGCAGCCTGCAAATCGACTGGAGAAAAATTGGCCTGCCTCATTTATACAGTCGTAGAATTGTGGAGGTGGAAGGGGCCATGAAGGTCTCTTGGGGCCAGGTTTATACCAATCCAGGTTTATACCAATCCACAGGGTGTGGCCATCCCGCACCGAATAGGGTGGAGCTGGGAAAGGGGCAGCCCTAAATGCCTGCCTCTAAGACAGCGCCCCATGCTCCTTTCCCCAGGTCTGGTTTAACAACAAAGGCTGGCACGCCATGGTGTCCTTTGTCAACGTTGCCAACAATGGGATTTTGCGGGCCAGCCTGCCGGCTGGAGCCAACCCCTCTCTCTACGGTATCACCACCACCAACCACCCCCTCAACCTGACGAAAGAGCAGCTCTCGGAAGCAGCCCTGTGAGTAAGCGCCTGGATCCCGCGCAGAAGGCCACAGAAGCCCCGTTTGTTGTTTGGTTTAAGCAAAGGCCGTCCTCTGTCTCTGCCCCTCCCCTCGGCCCTGCTTTCTCCCGCTCAGGATGGCCACCTCGGTGGACGTGCTTGTCTCCATCTGCGTCATGTTCGCCTTGTCTTTTGTCCCTGCGAGCTTTGCCCTCTTTCTGATCGAGGAACGCGTCAGCAAAGCCCAACACCTCCAGATCGTCAGCGGCATGAAACCCGTGGTCTATTGGCTGGGCAATTTTGCCTGGGATATGGTGAGGCTGGAAAGGGGTCCCCTCTACATTCACAGCCCTGAGAAAATGGCAGGGCGGGGGGGGGGCGGGAGAGCAAGGGGGAGGAAGCGGACATGAAGGGGGAGAAGAAATATATGGCTGCAGTCATGCCAACTGGCCACAATGAGGCAGATAAAAGGAGAAAGTGCGTTTTCTTCTTCTGCTTCCCCATGTGTGTTGAATATTTTTGGACGATTTTTAGATGGTGGGGGCTTGCTTGCTTTGCTGATGGACTGCAAGCTGCTTCCGGAACGATCGTGCATGTGGAGTGGGATCCAACGACTTTAAATCATGATGAAATAAATATATGGATGTGAGTGGCTGGGGTGGAGGTGTGGATGGAGAGGTGTGTGGGGGATTCTGACCTTGCCTGTGTTTGGCCTACAGACACCAGGAGGTGACCAGGAGGGGATGCAGTGCCTGGGGTGAGAAGGGTACCCCACTCCTGCTTTTATTTATTTATTTATTTATTTAAACATTTCTATGCCGCCCCATTCGCCGAAGCCTCGGGACGGCTCACAACATGAAGTAAAATACAAAAATAACAATACAAAAATAACAATATAAAAAAATAACAATATAAAATAAGTCGCCCTGGCCAGATAAAATAAGAAAATACTGTTAACAATTAAAATGACGCTTAAATAAAAAGGTCTTCGCCTGGTGCCGAAAAACAAATAATGACAGCGCCAGGCGGACCTCTCTGGGGAGCGCATTCCATAGATTGGGTGCCACTGCAGAGAAAGCCCTCCTCCGAGTACCCACCCTCCTAATATCCTTCACGGAGGGCTCCTGGAGAAGGGCCTCTCCCGCAGATCTCAGGGGGCGGGCGGGCATATATGGATGTAAGCGCTCCTTCAGGTTTGGTCGTGGCTCATGTGCATGGGTTTTTAATATCAGCATAACTGCACAAACAGAGGGGTGAAGGCCGCTTGGAAAGAGGACACGGGCAGGGGAGGTGTGCTAGTGGATTGGTTCTGCTTTGGATGTGAAGAGAGGCGATTTTGGGTGCTGGAGGCCGTCCCCCTGCAAGCAAGACTGGAGTTCCTTCTCCGTGGCCTCTAACTGCCTCTCGCCTCGCTCTGCAGTGCAACTACCTCGTCTCGGCGGTTCTGGTGGTGCTGATTTTCCTGTGTTTCCAACAAAAGGCGTACGTGTCCTCGGCCAACCTCCCGTCCCTGATTCTGCTGCTCCTGCTTTATGGGTAAGTGAGCTTGAGCGGACTCCGGGGCTGGTGGAGGACAGGAAGGCCTGGAGGAGTGTTGTCCATGGGGTTGCGTTGGGTTGGACGTGACTTCGCAATAAGCCAGCAAGCAAAGGACACCTGGAAGGACTCGGATCAGAACCAGCCCTTTTCTGAGAGGAGTAGGGAGAGAGGCCAGCTGTCCTTCCTCATCATGACCTAAATTCTGAAGAGGACGACCGTGAAGTCTTGGCAGTGGGAGCTTTGCAAACTCAAAGCAGCAGAGGGCTTCTCTCGGAGTCACTGCCCACGGGTTCCAAGAAGAGCAGGGATGTTTTGGAAGGGATAGGAGGGGTCCAAGAAGAGGGTGGGGAGGAAGAGCTGCTGCCTTGCCTGGTCCCAGACCCACGACGGGGCATCCAGAGAGACCAGCTGCCCAGTTGGAGTGCTTGCCCAGGTCTCACTGGTTGACCCTTCACCCACAAGAGCCACTGAAAGGGAAGAGTTTGGGGCAGAAGTCCCCAGTTTGGGTTCTGCACTCTTGACATGAACAGAGGCTTATCTCCTAACTACCTGGAGGGTTTTCGGAGTTACCTTGTCCTGTCACTGTGGAGCGCCCATAAAGGACTGTGCTGCAGACAGACCGCCTGGTGTTTTGAGCCTGAGCTCAGGGCTCCGCTGTTGTTACTCTTCCCGGTCCCTTTCCAGCTGGTCCATCACGCCTCTGATGTATCCAGCCTCCTTCCTCTTCACCGTTCCCAGCACCGCCTACGTGGCGTTGACATGTGTCAACCTTTTTATCGGCATCAATGGGAGTGTGGCGACCTTTGTCCTGGAGCTTTTCACTGACCAGGTGGGTCGTGGGACCCAGGTGGGGAAGGGAAGAGGAGCCTGGGTGGACCCGCAACGACCTCTTGAGTTGAATGGTTGTTACCTTTCAACAGGGTTCAGGCAGTTGGGCTTCTTGCAGATGAATCTAACTGCGATGTAGAGACTGAAAAATGATTCTTTAAGACATTTCTTGAAAATTGCAAATTGCAAATTTCCTGGAAGAAATCATGTTGTTTACCACCGGAGGTTGTTAAATCTTCCTTAATTTCGAGAAAGTGGAACAATCTCTAATAACCTCCTTCATGCACAACAAATTTGTAGCTCTGAAAAAGTAGGAGGTTATCAACTTCCTTGAATACCTCTTTCAGAAATTCAATAAAGTACATCTTTCCGTAAAGCTATCCATCAGGCTCCTAAAATAAGTTGGTATTTGTATTTAATAAAAGAGCATCTCACAAATCTGTGCATCTTGGAAATGTCAGCCACTGAATCTGAAAAGTCAAAGAAATTAAATTAAAAGGAACGATTGCCTTAATGCAAGATGTGTCAGATTCTACCTGCTTTTTCTTTCCTGACAGAAATTGAAAAAAGTCAACAGTATTCTTAAAAAGGTTTTTCTGATATTTCCGCACTTCTGTCTGGGCCGTGGGCTGATAGACATGGTCAAAAACCAAGCCATGGCGGATGCCTTCGAAAGGTTTGGTGAGTCATTCCTGCAGTTGATTATTTGTTCCTGTGCTTATACACCTTACAGGTACTTTGGCTTCAAGTTCAGTCTTGAAGCAAAAGAACATCGCATGAGTACATCAAGTACATCAATTGGGGGAAAGTACATGACGTCTTCCCTCTGAACAGAGCTAACTTTATGTATTTATTTCATTTCCTTCGCTGCTTCCCCATAATTCAAGGGTTCTCTGAGTGGCTTACAAGATGCTACACCAGCCTACAAAAATGCAATCAGTAAAATAGATAAAAGCAATACAATTAATAAACTGTTATACAAGGTGATCCCCTTCATGGATCACTGCCTTGCTGTGGCGAAGGGGCTTGTGTAGCTCTATGAAGCGATGAGCTCTGCCATGCAGGGTCACCCAAGATGGACAGGTCATAGCAGAGAGCTCTGACAAAATGTGATCCACTGGAGAAGAAAATGGCAGCCCACTCCAGTACCCTTGCCATGAAAACCCCATGGACTGTACCAAGGGGCAAAAAGATATGACACCGGGAGATGAGCCCCTCAGGTCGGAAGGTGTCCAATACGCTACTGGGGAAGAGCGGAGGGCTAGTACTAGTAGCGCCAGAAAGAGTGAAGCGACTGGGTCAAAGCCGAAAGGACACTCAGTTGCGGATGTGTCTGGTGGTGAAGGGAGAGCCCGATGCTGCAAAGATCTAAACTCCATAGGAGCCTGGAATGTAAGATCCATGAATCAAGGCAAGCTGGACGTGGTCAAACAAGATGACAAGACTGAACATCGACATCTTGGGAATCAGCGAACTAAAATGGACAGGAATGGGTGGATTTAATTCAGATGTCCATCAGGTATCCTACTGTGGGCAAGAATCCCTCAGAAGAAATGGAGCAGCCTTCATAAAGCAGTACTGGGATACAATTTCCAAAATGACAGAGTGATCTCATTTCGAATCCAAGGAAAACCGTTCAACATCACAGCAGTCCAAGTCTGTGCCCCAACCACTGGTGCTGAAGAGGCTGAAGTTGACCGGTTCTATGAAGGCCTACAACACCTTCTAGAATTAACACCCAAAAATGATGTCCTTATCATCATGGGGGATTGGAATACTAAAGTAGGAAGCCAAAAGATAACCAGAATAACGGGGAAGTTTGGCCTTGGAGTACAAAATGAAGCAGGGCAAAGGCTGGCAGAATTTTGTCAAGAGAATACGATGGTCATAGAAAACACTCTTTTCCAACAACCCAGGAGACGTCTCTACACACGGACATCACCAGACGGTCAACACAGAAATCAGATTGACTATGTGCTCTGCAGCCAAAGATGGGGAAGCTCTATCCAGTCAGTAAAAACTAGACCAGGAGCTGACTGTGGCTCAGATCATGAGCTTCTGGTTGCAAAATTCAGGCTTGAATTGAAGGAAGTAGGGAAAAGCACTAGGCCACTCAGGTATGACCTAAATAATAATCCTGATGAATATACAGTAGAGGTGACAAATAGATTTAAGGAATTAGATCTGATAGACAGAGTGCCTGAAGAACTATGGATGGAGGTTTGCAGCATTGTACAAGAGGCAGCAACTAAAACCATCCCAAAGAAAAAGAAATGCAAGAAAGCAAAATGGCTGTCTGAGGAATCTTTACAAATAGCTGAGGAAAGAAGGGAAGCGAAAGGCAAGGGAGAAAAGGAAAGATACATCCAACTGAATGCAGAATTCCAGAGAATACCTAGAAGAGATAATAATACCTAATGTATGACTGTGAAAGCTGGACCAGAAGGAAGGCTGAGCGCTGAAGAATTGAGGCCTTTGGATTGTAGTGCTGGAGGAGACTCCTGTGAGTCCCTTGGACCACAAGGCGATCAAACCGGTCAGTCCTGGAGGAGATCAACCCTGACTGCTCTTTAGAAGGCCAGATCCTGAAGATGAAGCTTGAATACTTTGGCCACCTAATGAGAAGGAAGGACTCCCTGGAGAAGAGCCTAATGCTGGGAACAGTTGATGGCAAAAGGGGGCAGCAGAGGATGAGGGGGCTGGATGGGGCCACTGGGGAAGTGGGTGTGGGGTTGCGTGAACTCCAAGGGATGGTGGAAGACAGGAGAGCCTGGAGGAATGCTGTCCATGGGGTCGCGATGGGTCAGACGAGACTTCGCAACTAGTAAGCAAGCAAATACAAGATGATGCAGAATAAAGATAATAAAAGATCATACTCAAAACACAGACCAAGTAGAGCCAAAAAAATAATTGAAATAAAATTTAAAATGAATTATAATTGAAATAAAATTTAAAATTAATTATAATTGAAATAAAATTTAAAATTAATTAAAATTAGTTACATTTAATTACACTTAATTAAAATTTAAATAATAATAGAAATTTAAAATATGATTGCTCCATTCCTTCAGGCTGAAGCAGTTCCTTGCCCCCAAGCGCAACTGTGATCGTGGCCCCCCCCGCCCCCCCCAGCACGATCCTGGCCATCTCCGTGCCCCCAAGCACGACGGCGATCGCAACCTTCTCCCCACTGAGAACGCCTGTGGCCAGCCAGCCAGCTCAGAGCTTTTGGATTCGCTCGGGGGTTGTTGTCTCCGAGAGAGTCCAAAACTCGGAGCCAGGCCGGATAAATGGGCATTGCGGGCCCGATCCGGGCCACCGGCCGTATTTTGAGGACCCATGTCTTGATCTTCCTGGCCAAGAAGTGATTTGATGCCTTGTTTTTCTTCGTTGCAAATGGAAAATTGAGACTGGGAGAGGACTTCATGTTTTCATCATGATATACAAGCTTTGGTAGCTTTGTCTCCTGGTCACTAAGCCATACGCTAGTCTAATTTTATTTTTAGGATAAACATGCTCCTATGAGATGTTAAGGTCTTATTCATATTATTGTTTTTCCCTTAAACTGCTTCTTCCTCAATGGAAAACATGTATTCTGTTGTTCTATCACCTTCCCCAGTAGATGTCAGTATCAATTCACCTTTTCCCATCTCTCCTCATGTAGGTGATCAAAAGTTTGTGTCACCACTAAGTTGGGACCTGGCCGGGAAAAATATGTTTGCAATGGCTGTGGAAGGCGTCATCTTTTTCTGCTTCACCATTTTGGTACAGTACAAATTCTTCATCCATCTTCGGTAAGGCCTCCTCCTCTCTTTTTTTAACTGAGCACCAAAACAGTTGCCAAGGCAGGTGTGCAGCAGATCAAAAGACCACACTATGCAAATATCCAGCATTTGCAAACATTCACACCTCTAAAAGCCATTTAAACATGGGCAGAGGAGGGGATTTTTTGGCAATTATTTTATCTCTTATTTCATTTAGTCCTTCTGCCTTAAGCTCACTCCAAATGGTGAAACCAGATAGCATTAAAGGACCCACCTCCTTCCTTCCTCCTTTCCTTCCTTCCTCCCGTCCGTCCATCTGTCCGTCCCTGCCCTGCCCTGCCTTGCTTCCTCCCTCCCTCCCTCCCTCTGTCCCGTCCCGTCCCGTCCCTCCTCCCTCCCATCCTTCCGGCCTTCCCTTCCCTTCCCTTCCCTTCCCTTCCC